CTGTGTATATTTTTTTATCCCTGCGAACATGAGACTATCCCTTCTGGTAAAATGTGAATGACCCCACAAATGCATATCTTCTACACTAGCTATAGGTTGAGTAGTAGGACTTGTATATAGAAAAATCATTCCTATTTCAAAAAAAAAAAAAAAAACAATTTGGTAATGCAATATCCACTTGACAAAAAATATAATAATTATTGATACAATCAAAAATGTGTTTCGAGCTGAAATAGCCCACAAAAAGCTGATAAAACGTAAAAACCAGATCAGTCGGTGAATTCGTGTACGGCAGGGTGAATCTTTTCAATGGCACCGCCCACGTAAGTTAACTGTGTAATTAGTAGTACGAAAGAAACGCAGAATATATTTCATTTTTTTCCTAGAATGAGCAATGTTATGAAAAGTAGGAAAAGATTTTAGGGAAAAGAATTTTTCATAAAATTTTCAAGGAACAATATTATGAAGAGTAGGAAAATATTTTAGGGAAAGACGTCTTCACTAAAATCTTCAATGAATAATATGAAAAGTAGGAAAATATATTAGGGAAAAAAATTTTCCTGAAATTTTCAATGAACAATAATATGAAAAGTAGGAAAATATTTTAAGGAAAGACTTGTTTAATAAAATTTTCAATAAACAGCATTATGAAAATACGAAAATATTTTAGGAAAAACTTGTTCACTAATTTTTTTCAATGAACAATATTATGAAAACAGAAAAATATTTTTAAAGGAAAAATTGTTCACTAAATTTGCTTTTTCAGAGCATACAAGTACGTTTTTCTGAACATTAACAATAGAAGTAAAATTATTCGGTGACATCGTTAAATATTAATTAATAGTAAAAAGATCTTTCTGCATGACAAAAAAAGCGGTAGAACTATTCTTTCTCCTTGATGAACAAAGAAAAAGAGCTAAAATATTCTATGGGGTCCAATAGTCATGCACATCAAACATACAAGCTTTTTGTCCGGTCATTAATAATAGAAGCGAAATTATAATCTTACACCGAAAAATATTAATTGTCACAACAAAAGATACTTCAGGAGAATGGTAGAATCATTTTCTCTCTCTGATGAACACACTATTATGCTAAAATATTCCCTGGGATCCAATAACTATTCTCACAAAATTCAAGGGCTGTACATGAAAAGATCTATTTATTGCGAACAAATAAACAAATACGCAAATATCCTCTTTTATATAAGATTAAATTTTTACTTGGTGTATATTTTATTTTTGTTTTTCTTATCGTAATGGTCATGTATTTTTTACATTGTTACCTTGAAGCAAACAGTGTTATCAAAGAATTAACTACCGACATAAAAACACTGCCAACGGTGCTACAAAAAAAACTGCAAAAATAAAATGAAAGAAAATATTCATTCCAATAAAGTTCTTTCTTGAACTACAGTCCTTATTGGCATTTATTTTGAGCGTTCTCAAAAATAACTTGCTTCTAGGTTTGCCTGTTTCTATTTCCCTGTCAAAGGACGAGGTCCGTCGACTGATTGAAATACAACAGAAGCATTGACTGATTAGTTTTTATCATACAGTCTTTTATGGTCACTGAAAACAGCCCAAAATGTTCGTTCAGAATTAAAGGAGTAATTTCCCATCTTAATTCTTGTTTCTTTAATGTTCTCTCCCCTTTGTAGTATTTTTTATTTTTCTCATATTATATAATAATCAGTAACCCCCATGCGTCTTAGTGACTTTATTGCCTTGCTTGGGGTGAAATGTATAAAAAAAATTGCTGTAGTCAGTACTTTCAATCATAAGGGAAAGCGATATTTCTTTATTTATTAATTTATTTATTGATCTTGTGCACAAGTAAACATTTTTCTCACATACTCTGGTGTATTTCTAAACCTAGACCTCTACTCCGAACACTTTAAACTTGACCTTCCGCCTTGACCTCTTCTCTGAATATTTAAACCTTGAACAGTTCAACTGTAATCTGTTCAGGTCCATCGTCATCAGCCTCCCGAATCCTCATGATCTTCATTTCATAGCACCTTCTCTTCCATTTATATTACACAGCTCACTCAGTATCTTTTTGACTTTAAACCTCTACTTTAAGTGGCTCTCGGGCCTTGTTTGTTTGTCATTTAGTATAAAAATACTTTTCTCCGCAGAACAATTTTTGGAAAAAAAATTACACGCTTATTTTATGACTTGGATTATTCTATATGGTACTTGTACTTGGTACACAAGAATATTTCCACCTGTTGATGGTATTAATTCGTGCTTCATTCCCAAATTCAAGTGAGTCTACTGTAGATTTTTTCTGACGTAAGACGCAGCGCATTTTCTAAAGAACAAACACGATAAGATAAAATAAATAAAACAAACACGTTGAGAACAATAAAGATATTTGAATTGGAAAGATGCTATTCAATTCCGCCATTTATATTGAAAAAAAAAATTATGCTTCGCGTTCCTTTTATCAGCTTAGCCTCACTACGCATGCCTGACCGGAAATATGACATACGCTCTTCCTACGCATTGTACATATGTGCTTTCTATTGTAAGTCGATCACGATTGTCTTCTTATCAATCACTGCAATAAAGATATCACTGACCAAAGAGGAAAAAATATTTGGATTTTTGTTGTTCTTTTTGCTGGTATTCAATAGGTATAAGAGCGACATGACGAGTGTACAAGTGAACTGTCACGTTGTGGCTACTTCAGCGGTAAACTGATTAAATAATCATTCTATTCAGAGAACCGAATGTATATTCGTGCGTACAAGTTGATTTGTTTTTTTCAACTATTTCATTTATATCTTATAAATGTTGTCAATTACATGACAGCTTTTTCAGAAGCTAAAAACGAAGCCTTATTCACATTTCTGATGAAATTATGTTTTAACCTAAGTTACTCAAAGTATTGATCCACATATTTAATGTTGGAATCTCTTCCTCATAAATGTTCTTTTCATCTACCGTGTCCTTTCGGGACGTGAATAACCATTGCTCTCCCCAATCCAACTTATTGAATACATTATATATTACCATTGGAACCAATTGATTATAATTATTTTCTTCTTTTATGTACCTTGTCCATTCAGAACGTTCGTGATCATAGCCCTCTACAACTTCCTATCCCTAAACACAACTGGTTCAAAATATTACTCCACATATTTACAGTTAAAACCATGACAAGGAACTTCTATATATATTAGGCGAATACAATTCCATGTTGCCAAGCGAAATTTCACCCGTCATAGATCTCTCAAAGTTTGTTTTTTTTCATATCTGCACATAGTTTTGTATTCAAAGGTAAAAAAATGAAGATTTTTAGAATGAAATTTTATTAACCGACAGATTTGTATCACTTTAAACTTTTAGTGGATAGTCGTGTTTCAGTAGGTGGTCTGTTTGTTTGTTAAACAGTATATTTAATTATTTTCACTTACCGATAAATGTTATTAAAGAAAAAATTTGCGATATATAGCTATACTTTTACTGGTTGTTACACCAATTTGGAATTCTTCTGTCTGTAAGTCCAGTAAAGTTAAATAAATCTCTACCTTGTTCTATCGTGCTTTGATATGCTTAGCTTCTATGCTAGAGGGGGAATTGATGAGCATTTTCAATATTTTCCGGGACAACGGTTAACAGGAGAATATTGTTAAACGGGCTTTGGAACGTAAGGTTAAGAATTTTAAGGGTCACGTGGTTCTCCAGTCTATTTCAAACTAGTATGGTTGGGTAGGAGTCAGACACTTGCCAACAGGGTGTCGGCGTGTGTAACTCGCGTGTTGTCTTTGATACTATTCCTGTGTGCTGATCTTTCGTTAACGATGTTTTTTCCCTACCTGCAAAGCAGTTCTGATGTTTACCATATTAAATGTCAGTATGAGGCTAATTATATGGGGCGATCAAACCTGCGGTTGGAGACCAGGGTTGAACAGCAGGTACATACACATATAAGACAGGGCTTTAATCAGTTGATTTCGGAGACATCGATTGGACTACTCACGTTGCGCTTTGAAATATTCTTAGGGTGCTGCACAAAAGTGCGGTCGGCTAAATATTTACGCTTTTTAGAAGCTGTTCCTATCAATCTTTATCGACCGACTTTTCTGTCGGGTGACGGATAACTTTCTTCGTTCCCATGGGTGTGTCGTGAGTACAAATTTTGTTCTGTTTTGTACTCACAAAGAGCTTACTTATATCGATTTTTGTTTTAGTAATACATTTATTTTAGTCGGGGTTCCTTATTTGCTCCACCCCTGCAACGTTTTTAGTTTCGCTGTTTGTGATTTTTTTTTTTTTTTTGTTTATTGCAACAAATCTTTTGGTCGAAAAAAAGTTTCTTTTAAAGAACAAAATCGAACTCCATCATTTTTAAAAGAGTATATATATATATATATATATATATATATATATATATTTCGATTATAGTTGCTGTTCAACTTATATTTAATTACATGAATCATTCATACAAAAAACAAATATAGAGGTTAATGATTTAAATGGCGAGAATACATCTTCGGAAACAATTTCGATGTTACACCAACCCCGAACCTGTACAGAGCCAGCCTCGTGTATTTCCTCCACCCCAAAGCTGGGCATTTTGAAACACTTGTAAATTCGAATGTTGCACAAAAAGGTAAGGAATCAGGCGAAGTATTATCTAGAAAAGATTTTAATTGTTCCGGGGGTGTTCCTAATCTGGCAGAATGACTTTTCTACCAAAATAACACATACCATCAAATTCCCTCACCCATTTTGGCTCCGTATTTGGTAGATTTTTTTTTCTGTCGCTCATAGTATCTATTAGCAAATCTACATGAAGATGATAATCACGCTGACAGTCATAATTAAGTCCTTCATTTAACGAATATCTTGACTAAAGTAAAGCGGTTTTCAATGCACAAACCTGCACCGCTGCTAATATATCATTCCTGTTTATTTCTACTCCGCGCTTGGCAACTCATAATTTCTTCAGCTGTCTGTAAGGCCCGTTGATGCTGCGCCCTGATGTGAATGGCCTCATGCCATTCCTCTGATGTCAGCTGTCTTCATGCCCCGGCGGTAACGTGTCCTGACGCGATTGACATCCCGCCGTTCCTGTGTTCAGCTGTCTCCATGGCCCGTCGGTGAAGTGCCCTGACGCGGTCTGAATCCCGCCGTTCCTGTGACTGTTCAGTTGTCTCCATGGCCCGTCGATGACGTGCCCTGACACGTTCTGCATCCTGCCGTTCGTGTGAAACTGCGAGAAACATTTCTTGATTTGTTCATAGCTTTCGTTTTGAAATTTTCTTTTTGTTCAGTTTGCTTGTGATTATAACGGCCAAACGAGGATTTTTTTTTTGTCGGGGGAGGGGTATTATAATTTGCTAGCTCAAGAGTATTTAGAAATTTTGGTAATTTCATTTTTTTTTTCTTTTCTTTTTTTTTGGGGGGGGGATAATTTCCTGAAAGAGTAATGTACGGAAAATTTATAGAAAATTGATAGAAATAAAAAAATCTGAAAAATAAAAGAAATCAAAACATGTCTGAGAAGATTCTACAAAGTCTTTGATGTGTAACAATAAAAAAACATACGTTATCTTGATGTTATAACTTTGAAGTATAGAAATAAATTTACATTTTTTAAATATATTTTTTCTGGTGTTGATAAAAATCCAATAAATAAACAAAAGCAAAATTAATTTTAATCAAATTTTATTTCCACCCCTTCAATAATTAAGCAACTGTCCGCTGCTCAGACAGAATAAAATCGGATTTCCACTTTATATAACAGTTTAAATTGTTTTAATCATATTCCAAAGTTCTCTTCCACATTCAATATATATATATATATATATATATATATATATATATATATATATATAGCGAAAAAAATCTCCTTGTTTAGTCAGCTATGTATCAGCGGTTACCTTTGAAAAAATGTTGTCCGAAAAGTATTCCTTTAGGAAAAAAAAAAAGAAAAATACTGTCGTGCCTTTTCAAATTAGAAATATATATATATATATATATATATACACACGAATGTAATGAGAATGAAAATAGTATATGAATTCTACCGTTTGCAGCATTAATTCAAAAGATAGTAGTTTTTTGGGGGTTTTTTGCGCATATATAATAGTACAGTGTAACCCGGCCCGGATATAGGAGAGTTGTCGTGACCGGAGAAGCCGTCTCTTATATCCGGGTTTGGACTATTTTATATACATTAACACAGACTCTAATTTGGGACCAGAGAAAATCTCTCTTATATCCGGGTTTATCTTATATCCAGGTCTCTTATATCCGGGTTACACTGTACTAGTAATACTTTCAGGTAGATTGATTTAAATCCATACTTATTATTCAGTCCGACAATTGGTCGAAAATTTGCTTATAAAAATTATATTAATATCCCATACTTTTATATAACTCTCTACTTATATTTTAATTTCTAAATTAAAACTTATTGTTTTTTTAAAGAAAAAACAAAAAACGAATAACTTAAGTATTAAACATACGAAGAAGAAATCTCCACCTTTTAATTTATTCATTTACAAAACACTTTTATTGATTACAAAATTAGTAGTGATAATTCCAGCCTAAATATATGCAATTCAGCTCTGGCTTAATTTTAAAATAAACAATAACATTTCCAATTACTACTATCGTTTGGACTTATCCCTTCTTCCTCTTTTATCGTTATTATTCTCTGCTATCCCCACCTTTCCTCCCCACTCCTCACGCTTTACTTTAACACCTCACCCCATCCCTCACCAAACCGCTACCAATAAGCACTATTGTTTTACTCCGTTACATTTTTGCCTCGATGTAATATCTTTTTTTTTTTTTTGTCAAACAAATGGAAAAAAGGAAGTGACGTTTCACATGCAGCTTGCTTACAAATATCATTGTTCTCACCAGTCGAAGTGCAATTAAATGCACTGAAACGAAGTTGCATCTTTGTAGTGAGTAAATTGTTTTTGTCTATATGAAAATAATTAACACACACACATATATATATATATATATATATATATATATATGTGTGTGTGTGTGTGTGTTATAATTATTTCATAATATATATCATATATATATATATATATATATATATATATATATATATATATATATATATATATATATATATATATATTCGAGGTTCGCTTGACAACCTAACTGTCAGGTTTTCAATTCTCGTTAGTGGATGCGCACTGCTGATGGGTCCCAAATATAGGACAAAACAGCCGTCCAGTGCTTTTTGCATTCTGTTGAGGTTTCTATCAGACTCGATGAATTAATTAAATATATATATATATTTATTTATTTATTTATTTGTGTGTACGTGTTTGTTTCTGTGTTATTCATAAAAATTTAAATTTAATGGCTTCGTAGTTGTCAGTAATGGTGGACTTCGTAGTTGTCAGTAATTGTTAATACCTTCATATTTGTTATTAATTGTGGACTTCGACAAATTGGTCAATAAGATTTTGTTTTTAATTCCCAGTTCGAATTACAATCATCAAGATTTCTTTTCCCAGGCCGTTCAATACTTTTGAATGGGAACTTAATTCCCAGTTCATGCAAACTGAATATTCACGATAGAACAAATGTTAATCGGTGGAGATATTCATCACAGAATGACAGGAAATATTATGATAGGCAAAATACAGATTATATTCAAAAAAACCTCTTTCTCATGTGACTCATAAATTATTAAATATACAGAAAGACAGAATATCGATCAAGTGTAAATCTACCACAATACGATATCTTCTGGGGGGGATTTTAGAATAATCCAGAACCAATACTAGCAGCAAACAGCCAACACGCAGAAAATAAATTCAGTAAATATACAAAGAGAAAAATAGATGTAAGACAAGTCTATGTCTTCTTACGGGATTTATTCCAAGCGAGACGATTCTGAGTGAATGAGACGTCCTATCTCATTCTTAACAACATAAGATATTCAGGTGACACATTGTTGATAGAGACGGAAAGGAAACTACATGAACTCCTATGGAAAATAACAAGGAAGCTAATAAGAAAGGCCTATACCTCAAGTGCAAGAAGATAGAACCTATGCTTGGTAGAAAAAGGAATAGCCCAAAAATCTTATCACAAATTGAAGATATCTAAATCAAACAAGTACAAAAATTTAAATATCTGGGAAGATTTAAAAAAAAAAAAAAAAAAGGATGTAAAGTACAACACTGAAATCCAAAGGTGTATTGGGATAGTGAAATATGCCTTCCAAAAGCTAAGCAAAGTCTTAAGAAACAGAAAAAAAATCGTTAGAATCGAAGAAAAGGATCGTGAACTGTTACGTAATATCAGTTCTCTTTCCTCGCAGTGAATGATGGACAATCTCCTCACAGACGAAAAGGAGACTTGAAGCGACTGAAATATGGTTCTAGAGAAGGATGTTGAAAATAACACAGACTGAAATTACGACGAGATTTTAGAGAAAATGGAAAGAAAGGAGACACTTATAGCTAACATCAGGAAGAAGCAGTTCTAATTCTTGGGTACATCATGCGGAAAAATGGCTTGCAAAATTTGAAGATGTATACTTCGAGTTAAAACGCTATATTTAGTGGAGTTTCTCTTTATTAACGTTCTTTACTGAAGTGTTAGGGTAGTGTGGCGGGCATCGGCGCGAAAAAATAGTATATTTCGTGATAGGCTATTGCGTTCACCTTCGCATTAATGTCTTAGGAAAAGGCATGAATCCATATCCCTGGCATACAGATAGTAGCAGTAAAAAGTTACTTGCTACATGCCAGAGATATTCCTGTCGAGATTTTTTTTGTTTTGAGTAACTCGTTTAAATGTTAAACAACCCCATTACTGACTTCCGTATGGGTTCAGCTAGTTGTGTCCCATGCGTTATACACGCTTAGGCGAACATGTATCATTCAGTAGACGACTAACGAGGCAGATTTTTTTTCCTGCAGTAGGTTGCCATTTCTCTCTGCGGTAGACCAGTTGCCATCCAAGGCTATAGAACCCGGTCTGTCCTGCTATTTACTCATAGCTGGGGGGGAGAAGAAGAGGATTCATACATTCCCAAGAGTATTAGCACATACGATTCGACTGGAATTCGAACTCGGCTCTCCGATTCCGATTCAGAGCCGCTATCCATTACTCCACCGTACCTCCCCCGTATGGGTTAAGGATCTAAAAAAGATAAAAATGGAAAACGTAAAACTAAACTAAAACAGTTATTAAATACGTTATTCTATACAATATTAAAGAATTATACCAATTGTAAGAAATTACTTACATCCACCTATTTTCCTTTTTTTATTTATTAGACCCGAGAAGAAACGAAATGACGCAACCATTTTAGCAATTTGAGTTCTTGCAGGACTAATACCCTTGCGAATGAGCTACCACTGTCGCACTAAGGACTTTGGGAAAGTTTGCTACTTTCCCACTACTACCCGTAAGAATGAGTTACTATTAGGGTTGTGCAAAAATAATGACGTAATAATGTCGTTTTTTGACGTTAAAAATTACGTCAAAAAACGACATTATTACGTCATTATGTTTGCACCAACCTAATAATTTCGGACTTTTTCTTTTTCTTTTTCTTTTGTTTTCACACTAATGCCCTTGGGAATGAGGTATTACTTTCGCACTAATGACCCTGGGAAAAGGTTGTTGGTTTCACACTATGCCCTTGAGAATGGATTAATTCTTTCGTACTAATGACCTTTGAGAAAGGGTTGCTGCATTCAGACTAATACCTGGGAAAATAGATTACTACTTTCGGACTATTGGCCTTGGGAAATGGTTGCTGCTTTCACACTAATGACGTTGCGAATAAATTACTACTTTCGCGCTAATTCCTTTTGGAACATTGCACATAATGATACCCTTGTGAAAATGTTGATTTCACACTAATGCCATTGCGAAAATGCTATTGTTTTTGCCTTTATACTCTGTGAAGATGATGGTTGCATTCGCACTAATGGCATAGGAAAATATTATTACTTTCGAACTAATACTGTTTGGAAAATGTTTTTGCTTCGTACTAATGCGCTTGTGGAAATGATTGTTGCTGTCACACTATATGTCCTTAGGGAATGGTAGTTGTTTTCACACTAATATCCTTGGGAAGGAACCGAACTCGTCCCTTCTCTCCACTATAACTATGGGTTAAATAGCAGAGTAGACATAAGTCTATATAAACTAGGGTGACACCAGTTATGAAGAAGGTAAACCCTGTGTGTCAAACCGTAGAGAAGGCAAAAGGAATCCATTCCAATATTTCTCCCTTGAACGCATTGGAGTTCAAAAACAATAAACAAACGGAATCGTTGGACAGCCATTTTTTTTAAGCTGAAGGGACGCGAAATGCTGTTCTTTTATCTTTCCTCTCCTTATGATAGCAGCTATCGAAACAACCGTCAAGAAGCAGCTTCCAAAAAAAAAGGGATAGAATAATAGACCTTGATTATAGCAATTAAACCAATTTAAATCTGTATATATTGCACGCGTATTTCTTGTCTGTATTTCTGGGTTGAGAAGTTATGTTTATTTACAGTGTTTATACGCTGATAACTATCCTCATCTTTACTGTTGTTATCGCAACATTTCGGCCATTGTGTTCTCCACTCTTCATCAGATGTAGATCGATCCAGGTAATCTTCAGGGAATTTCAAAGTGACCCATTTATTTAATCTACGTTTGTACTCATCCCACTGTCCACGTCTAGAGATATCTCATCTTGTTCTTACTTTAATAGTGCTAAGTTAACCCTCACCCTGTTGAGACCGAGTACATACTGTCCGGCCCGCAGAATGAACTCACATTTAATATCGCCAAATTCGAAAACCAACCCGATCGATAACTGAGCAGTACAAAAATAAGAAATCGACGAGATATCTTTAGATATGGGCAGTGGAATTGTGTACATTAAATAAAGGGCTCAGGTGGAAATTCCATGAAGGTTACCCGGAAGATAAATTGGTCGAAACGTTGTGATAACAAGAACAGAGGTGAAGACAATAATTCGCATATGCAAATAATTTAAATATTGCATACGAATTTTGATATATCTTTTAAAAAAATGTATAACAAATTCTCTTTTGAGAAAAATTGAACCAGATTTCTTGGCGGTGTAAAAGTTTGTAGGCGTTTAGGAAATGCTCATAAGACAGATGAAAGACAGATCTGCCGTTAAAAAAAAAAGAAATGAATGAATGCAGCTTGTGACATTCATGAATGAACAAATATTCAAGCATAATATTTTCTCTGTGTATGTAATTAAAGAAGCTGTCTTGCTGTGTGCAGCATAGATTCACCAACAAAGTTCAGCTTTCGATATTTTTAGCATTTGGTATGCGTCAAAGACGCCATTTTGAGTCGTGTTTTAACGTCTTGTTTTTTATTCGTTGAAAAATACTGCTTGATATGCGTTAATAGTATAGCAAATTTTATTTTGATGGCCGACGCAATTTTTTCTACTCCTATAAAAGAAATCATTTGCTTCCTCAAAATGATGGTGCTCATTTTCTAAAACTCAGCACAAATTTCAACGATTCCATTTTATATGCTCTATAAGAAGCTTAACATGATTTGCATCCATCCAACCCAAGACGTTTTACTGTGCTTTATGCACACACACACACACACACACACACACATATATATATATATATATATATATATATATATATATATATAATTAAGAGAATTCAGAAAGTTATGGTAATATTTTATTTCGCGAAACCGATAAAATTCGATTTCATTTTTTTTTTTTAAAGCGTTTCACCCCAAGCAAGAGCAAGGCGGGAAGCCACTAGGACGCAAGGGGTTACAGAAAATTTAGAGCAAGATCAGATAGGAGTGATAGAAGAAAGGATGAGGGTAGTGGACAGATCAAGGCAACTGGAAATGTCGATTGACATTACATTTGAATAGCTGGAGATTATAGCTCCCAGGGAAACTGGAATAGGGAAGAGAGTTCCACAGGCAACAGGTGCGAGACATGAAGCTATTGGAGTAGAAGAGACGGCTACATTTAGGAGTTTCGACAGTGAAGGGGTGAGAGTGGGATGCCAGCCTCGTAGAAGTTTCATCAAATCTTGCTGTTTCAAAACAATGAGTTGATTCAAAATTTCTTCCAGGAATCAACCGAAAAACGAAATGAAAAACAAGATTAGCGGAAGTTGTGTTTTAAGATAGTTACACAGAATAGGAAAGGAATGAGGGAGGTATATGTCTCTAGTTTTAGCGTTTATCTCTTATTCACCGGATGAGAGGATGGAATAAAGAAAAAAATTAATTAATTATTAATTAATTATATATATATATATATATATATATATATATATATATATATATTATTATTATTATTATTATTATTAATTCATTCATTCATTAAAGAATATCAAACGCTTAAAACCCCATAGGTAATAATTTTTATTTCATGAGAGCTCTAAAACAGAAGCTCTTAATCTTCAAGACCTACAAACAAAATCTTGAAGATTGAGTACTGATTTTTAGAGATATCGTGAAAGAAACATTATTACCTATTGATTTTAAGTGTTTGATATTCTTTAATTAATAATAATTTTGCTCTGTCTTTTGACATAGAGCTACTCCTGGGTCTATATCCTCCTGGAAATACAATACGGAATACCATGGTGTATTATTATTATATATATATATATATATATATATATATATATATATATATAGTGTGTGAGTGTGTTTATATATATATATATATATATATATATATATATATATATATATTCTGTTTTACGTTATTTTTATAGATACAATTTATTTAAGTAAATCCTCTGTTTTTAATTAAATTTATAGACCTGAATGTTCGAGAAATTTCTCCGACAGGAATTGGACTTGTATATCGATACGGAAAAATTCATATGACGTGCTATATTCGAGAAATCTTGTCCTCCGGTAGAATTCGAACCTACATCCCCTATTGGGAATCGTCACTGAATGTGACGTGGCAGACTACTCGGCCACGTAGGACTTCCAACTTTTGAACACGCACTCTTTGTCGATTCCCGAAATATCCATATCTGATCTGCATCGTATCCTACCGTAAACAAAGACAATTGTTTTTAGGATATAGATTAAATTCGACATATGTTATTTTAAATTTATCTGTTTAAACGTTATTTTTGATGGATACTAATATTCGAGTAGAAGCTCTGTTTTTTAATTAAACAGTATTTTTAATCCAACTATATCTACCGGCCTGAATATTCAAGAAATCTTCTCAAAAAATAATCGCCCTCCAACATGTTTCGACTATCAGTATTTTAATTTTTAAATTAAAAAACTGTAATCCCAGTATATGGATCTACGTCGACATTATGATAAAGAGATATATTCTTTAAATCTATACTCAGAACATCCAAGCGTTGCTAGCAGTGAGAAATAATATATACATACACATACACACACACACAGACACACACACACACACACACACACATATATATATATATATATATATATATATATATATATATATATAGTCATCCACAGACAGAATGTTTCGCAGCTCATCAGTGGGGCTAGATATACGATTATCTCAAGCGGGATCGAAACCCGATTGATTTATTATCAGTCAGAGATTTTTCCCCTAACTCATTGCAGGGATGAGGGTGAATTCAGGTGTATTTATTTTTTAGATAAACCCGCCAGTGAACTCGATTCATCTTAACGAAGATTCTTGCACCAACAGCAGTAATAGTCACTGTTTACAAATTCAATTTTCTCCTCGAAAGTTCAACCAAAATAATTTTCTCAGGGGCATGTCACACACACACACACACACACACACACATATATATATATATATATATATATATATATATATATATATATATATATATAAAGCTAATAGCTCAATTGCCTAAATTAAGCTCAATTGCTGAGCAGACTTAAAATGCGAAGTCAGGAGAACTTAAACATAGTATATTATTATAATACTAACACAATAATATTAAAATGATAATCAAAATCCTTGCTCAATGTGTCATACTGTAACACGATGATTGTGTAACAACGTAAAAGGTTCGCAAATCTGGTTAGATGACTACTACATCTGGTAGAATTTTGTGTTCGCTTTCTCAAGCGAAAATTCATAAGGAACGCAAATTCCATATGTGAAAGTTTGACAAATTACTCACTGAAATGTACTATTAACGACACAATGTCGGAGAGAAGAGATTATAAACTAATTCTAGGCGTATTTTCCTACCATCCTTCCTTAATTCATATTTGGTTAGTTGACACTCATATTATTAGACGTAATTATTTTCCGAATCCTATAATATATTATAAAATCATATATTATAAAGTTATACTGGTCTGATTGTGTCTGAGAGGTTTACCATAACGCATCAAAAATAGCACGCCTGAGCAAGATATTTGATAGGTCAATACCGTTGAAACATTCTAACGTGAATAATTTCGCTATCTGCAGTATTTGCAACTTTAATCGTATGGAATCTCCATTCGTTCTCACGCCATTGAAAATGATTAGATTATTGTATATCTCGGTATTTCTTACAGAAGCTAAAAAGAAAATCTTATCAACATTGAAAAAAGGAAAACAAATGAAAATATTCATAAATGTTGTATAAAATCTTACGCCGATGAAATAATGATAGATTCATTTTTATAAATTTTATATAAGAATTATATTTTTACAAAATAAATTATTTCAGGTGAAGATTATTAGATTTTAGATTTATTTTTATTTTTTTATTTTTCTATTTCATTAGAAGTATTTTCACACATGGTTACAAAAAAAGATCTAGATTGCAAATTTGAAATATTTTTTTCTAATTCCCGGCATTCTCTCTAGGTTCAATTTATTATTTCCTCACATGCTTGCGCGCTCTCTCTCTCTCTCTCTCTCTCTCTCTCGCTCTCTCTCTCTCTCTCTCTCTCTCTCTCTCTCTCTTTCTCGTCTGCAATCTCTCTCTTTCTTGAATTATTTACTTTTTCTTTTTTGATATTTCCAGAATTTGTTAAACGTTTCCTTCAAATTGAATGTTTCTTTTTCTCTTCTGCTTGACTCCCTATCAATTTTACATACGCCCTCTCTTTTTCTTTGTCACTCTCTCTTTCATTAATTCCCCTCTCCGTAATTATTTCCTTTTATTTCTCATCTCTCTGATTTATAATTTTCCTCCTCTCTAAATGTTACACTATTTCCTCCTCTTCTCTCACTCACTTCCTCTGAAAATATTTTCCTTCATTTTCTGTTTCGATGTTACCTTTTTTTTTTCTATTGTAATAATCTCCTTGATTTCTATGAATGTTTTTCTATTTATATCTCTTCTTTCCTTTAAATTATTTTCCCCAATTGTTTCTTGACTCGTCATAATTTTCCCTCCCCTCGCTGTATGTTTTTTTTTATGTTTCTTTCTCTTCTCACCCTCTCTCTTTCTCTCTCTTTCTCCCCCAAATTATTTCTCGTATTTTTCTCTTTTGTTTTTCTCGACTCTCACTAATTTTCCCTCCTCTCTCAATGTTTTTATCATTCTTTCTCTTCTCATTCTCTCAAATTTCCCCCCTACCACCTTTTCTCTTTTGATAATCCTCCCCCTCTGTATTTCAATACGTTTCCTTCTTCTGCTTCTCTGAACGCTTCAGTATATCTTCCTCTCCTCCTTCTCTCTCTCTCTCTCTCTCTCTCTCTCTCAAATGATTTCCTTCCATTTCTTTTGTGATTCTTCCCCTCTCTATTTCAATAGGTTCACCGCCATTTTCTCCTTTTATTTCACCCGCTTGTTCTCGAGTTTATTTACTTCTTTTTTTTTACTTCTCTCATACATTTCTGCCCCCTCTCTTTTTTTTTCATTATTTATCATCTCCCTCCTTTCTTTATCAGTCTCCTCTAATCATCATCTGTCTTCTCTGTTAATATAATTCTCAGCTGCTTTCTGTTTTTTTTTCCCTATTGCTTCTTCAATTATTTCTCCCTCTTGTCTTCGACATTTTCCTCCACCACTTTTATGATTACTCCCTTTCTTCCTCTTCCGCTCCTTCTCCCCCCGTTCTGTATGGTTCTTCTATTTTCTCTTATGTTCCCCTCCTCTTTCCAGTGAATGTCCGTCCCCTCCCTCAATGTTTTTATCATTCTTTCTCTTCTCATTCTCTCAAATTCCCCTCCCCACACTTTTTCTCTTTTAATAATCCTCCCCCTCTGTATTTCAATACGTTTCCTTCTTCTGCTTCTCTGAACGTTTCTGTATTTCTTCCTCTCTCTCTCTCTCTCTCTCTCTCTCAAATGATTTCCCTCCATTTCTTTTGTGATTCTTCCCCTCTCTATTCCAATAGGTTTACCGCCACTTTCTCGTATTATTTCACCCACTTCTTCTCGAGTTTCCCTCCTCTTTCCAGTGAACTTCCATCCCCTCTCTCTATACATTTTTCTATCTCACTCATTAGTTCCCTACTCTTTCTTCCTTCACTCCTTTCTCCCTTCCTGCCTTCATTCTTGTGTCCTTACGCATCATTTTATCTTTTTTACCATCACTTCATTTGTTCTTTATTTCTGGCATTGTCAGCTTTCTTTTCACTCCATCCTTCTTTCCTCTTTTTATTGTCCACTCTACCAACATCATCTAACAAATGTTCGAAGAACTAGAACTCAAACCTCTTCAAAACAGAAACTGTGATCTGGAATTGGAATGAAATCACTGATAGCACTTACTCTGAAATAACAGAAACTGCCTCACTTGAGACAACAATTGTATGTCATGAAGAGAAAATAATGACATAAGATGTTGACATTCCACTCTACTTCAAAGAAGATGTTAAGATGGCGACACCCATCAACACTGGAAAGAGAGACAACAGCTACTGGACTTTGTTCCTGTTCTCCCACCCATTCACATAAATTTAATAAATAGGTTACTTACTGTTTCCCTCTGAGTCTCTTGGCTTCACTATGTCTTGGAAAAGCTAAATTCTCTAGATCGTCTTTCTGCATTATACAACCCACAAATTTTAACTGATTGTTAATCTTATATTCCTTATAAGTTCCTTGTTAATCACATGTTCTATCTATAGAATTCATCATTAGAACGATATATTTGTTGCTTCATGTCTCTTTTTTTTATCTATGACAAAACTTCCAGTTTTCAATGATTCTTCTTCTTCTTCTTCTTCTTCTTCTTTTTTCTTTCTTTCTTCTTCTTTTTCTTCTTCTTCTTCTTCTGCCCTCTTTTTGTTCTTAAATTACTCCATCTTACTCTCGATGTTAGCATCTTGACCTGTCTCGAAATACTTCCAACCCTTTCTTCTCACTTCCTTTCTCGCTCTTTCTCTTTCTCTAATTAATATTTTTCCTTTTCTTTCTTCTCCATCTTCTGCCTGTCGTCTTCCCCTTTACCTCTTTTTTCCGTTATCTGTTTCGATTCATTTAAATTATTCCCTGGCATTTCTTCCTTTACAAGTTAACATCCTTAAACTGTTTTCATCTACTTACGTTTCTTTATCTCCCCATACATCCATACATATATATATATATATATATATATATATATATATATATATATATATATATATATGATATTATTTTTTCATTCTTTCTCATCTTCATTTCTGCACACACCGCTTAACATATTATATTCAGGAACAATATATTTCTATCCAACAATGACAAGCACGTAATGAAAGTTAAAAACAATATGGCGTCATAAAATATTAGCCACGTCATGACGCGAATTATTAATGTTACAGGGAACAATTTTTATCTCATTAATTTGCCAAACTGTCAAGTATTTTTCTCGATTTGATCAGGTTATATAATTATTCGTTTTCTTTACTCTGATGATAATTATGTTTCAATGAGTGCCAGTTTCATTCGCAGGTTCATATTTTTCTAAGATCTGAATCATCCGCATTTCTTTCAGCGAAAGAATGAAAATATGGCTTCTAGGAAGTTCTTTTGTCCTCCTCATTACCCAGCTTCAGATATTCTTCGAATTTATACCTTGACAATTATGGATTTTTTTAAAAAAAAAATAGAATTATTTGCAAGTTAATGACGAAGAGGCGTCATAAAGAAGCAAATATTGATGAGAGAAGTAAATAACATGTAGCTGTGGAGAGCCAACATCAATCAAGTGAAGAGATTGGCGGAGAGATACAGTTAGAAATTTCTCATAGCAAGATTCACCAAATATAAGACTCGAGAACCACTTTAGTTAAAATGTTACCTAAAACGGATATTATTAGGTTGGTGCAAAAATAATGACGTAGTAATGTCGTTTTTGACCTTGAAAAATACGTCAAAAAAACGACATTATTACGTCATTATTTTTGCACCAACCTAATATATTTAACTGGAACAGAATATATCATCACCAATATATTGACATTCGACATGATTTCAAACAAAATGTTAAGAAGGCAATATCCGTCAGTACTGAAAAAGTAAACTTGAGAAACCTATATTTACTGAAAAAAATTGTTTTCATAGAATGTTGTAGCATACCTACGGACGATGATATGTATGTCCCCATTCACATAAATACATTAGTAAATACTGTATGTTGGTCTAGAGTTGGAGATTCGTCTCCAGTTGTGTTGGTCAAACTCTCTTCGTTCGGGCAGAGAGGATCCCCAGACGAAACCATATCAAAGGAGAGAGTCTCGTCTTGGGAAACAGCTACCCGATCCCATTAATAAACGGGGCCTACGGACTCGGATACACCACATTAAATTGGGCCTTGTGCCACATCTGACTGCGTGGAGCGTTTGGTAGATATCCTGCAGTTGGAGATTCGTCTCCAGTTGTGCTGGTTAAACTCTCTGCCTCCGGACAGAGAGGATCCCCAGACGAGGCTATGTCGAAGGGCAGAATCTCGTCTCGGAAAACAGTTATATACGGGGTCTACAAGGAATGTTTGGCCGAACCTACGGCCTCGGATCCCCCACATTAAATTCTGACCGCGTGGGGTGGTTGGTAGATTTCCTGCAGTTGGAGATTCATTGTAGAATCCACTTGACTCACTTTTAACAGTTGACTACTTCTTCTACGCGCCGCTGGCGAATCTTATATGTGTTGTTCATGTCCTAAGTATTATCGTTCTTTACCAACCTTCGTGTGATTATTCTATTCAGTAACCTTCCTTAAGTTAAAACAGAATGATTTTAAAAATTTCAGCCAAAAATATCACTGTTCACTTAAGAAATACTGAATGTTTCTATAGGATTAGTTTTCCGTTTCCTTTTAAAATATATTCCTTCTCTTTCACCTCCTGTAGCCCATAGCGTCTTAGTGGCATTGTCACCTTGCTTGTGATGGTAGTTCTTGCACTTTAACCCTCTTCCTCGAGTGGCACTTTGTTCTTGTACAGGATGAACATCATTATAGAACATAATTTTAAAGGAAACTGCTAATATTACCATTGGAATTACCATGACAGTTAAATTGTTATGATGAATGAGGCGTGTGATATACATGAAAAATGAGATGGTATGTAACGACAATTATGAGGATAAGGTGGAGAGATAACGAATTTTTTAATCATTCACCTCTAGCAAGGTGATAAAGTCATTACGGCGCAAAGAATTACTGTAAGGGAAATAATGTAAAAAAAAAACAAAAAAAAAACTTATTGGGGAATGAGGGCAATAAAAGAACGGGTTTCAAGGCGACAGATAACGACGATTACCATTGCATTTAAATAACAGTTGACTGAAACGCAAGAAACCAGAAGAGATTTCCAGAGGCCAGAAGTGCAAGAGACGAAACTGTTGACCTAGAATTTATTATTACATCTAGCAATTTCAACTGTAAAAAGATGAGACCTAAATGTCACTCTAGTCCTGTGCTTAAAATTGATAAAGTCGAGGTACCTGGTAGGAAAGCTCATCAGATTGATCATAAAAGCAGAAGGAAGCTACGTTACGGCAGAAAGAAAATGACTGAAGCCGAGATGACCGCTGATTTGAACATGTTAAGATATTATAATTATCAAGGAAAGCATCCAAGCACTAGTCAGTTTAACTAATTATAATTGGTGGTTGTGAAGCTGTCTGATTGGAAATTTCTACTTAAAATTTTGAATACGGAGAAAATGAGAGTGATTTGACTCCGTAGAAGTAACATGGCGCCTGAAGGTCTGAACTGGTGGGACTAAATAAGCTAGTCTGAAAAATTACCATGAGAATTCCAACAGAGTAACGAAAAGCTACAACGTTGCGTTTATTGGGGAAGTGGCTGGAGAGTGGAGAATGTCACCCCCCACACACACCTGCAAAGACTACGTAAACGTTTTAAAAGTCTTGAGGCTGAAAACTCGGCACCTCCGCCCCAGATATAGTAGTAGTATTCCATTTTCTATTTAATAAAAATAGAATGTTCCTGAATTTATATAAGCAGGTTGAAATTTGATTCTGATATTTAACTTCTTCGCGTGAGTCTATAGCCAATCCACCCGTCTTCGAGATTTTAAAAATAAATCAGATAATTTTTTGTACTTATATTTCAATAAACATGTTAATATTTAAATGAAACCTACGGGACAAATAGGGACTGTTCCAATAGTACCGCCGCCTTCTATTAGGTTTGGTGCAAAAATAATGACGTAATAATGTCGTTTTTGACGTCAAAAACGACATTATTACGTCATTATTTTGCACCAACCTAATATATGCCGTGTATCTACAACTTCCTCTCCTTTGCAACTCTTAGTAAGTTTTTGTTATTCCACACCGCCTCTCAATGCCTGTTCTGACATCTATTTAAACAAACCAGTTAGGAAGGTTATTCATTCCTTACCTCTGTTCCTCTTTCCTTTAATATGTTATGTGAGTGTCAAGTTTTCCAAGCCTTCTTTCCTCATTATGTGTCCTAGAATTACCAGCTATCTCTCGTTTTCATTGTTTACTCTTCAACACCACAGCTAAAATAATTGGTGTTTATATTTATTCATAAATTACTTAGAATTCACTATTTACATTATTCGGATTTCTAGAGAATTCTAACTATCTGTATATTTTTCTGAGGTGAGGTATTATGTACGTCATTTACATTATTCGGACTATTGTCTTCATCTTTGTTGCCATGTTTATTACAACGTTTCGGCCGTTGTACGCTCCGGCCTTCTTCAGGTGGTTGGAATGTCGAACTGAACCCTTTATTTCGCTCACTGGGGTAGACTGTTCTAGTTCCCCTTACCATGCCTAATGGATATCAGTTATCTCCTGTTAATTCCCCTCTCCAAGTTCTCTACTGCCTTAACCAGTTATTGAACTCACACTCTTTGGGTCCTGTCACTGGATCTAACTAACACCTTTATCCACTGTGCCATGTGTCCTTGAGGACATCTGTGTATGAATTTCTGGGTATCATATACATAATGTCTTCAGCAACCATTTTACCAGTGCTCGTATTGCAATTTTTTGTTGTCATTATTGCATTTTTTTTTTACCAGAGCTCATATTGCAATTTTTGTTGTTGTTATCGCTTTTCTCTGGCATTCCTTAATACTGCTTCCTATATTGTATACACTTCCATGCTTGGTCGGCTCAGAAGATTTTTATGAGTGAAATAAAAGATTTATTTCGACAGTTTATCCACCTGAAGAAGGCCGGAGCGTACAACGTCCGAAACGCTGTGATAAACATGGCGACAAAGTTGAGGACAATAGTCCGAATAATGTAAATGACGTACATAATACCTCACCTCAGAAAAATATACAGATAGTTAGAATTCTCTAAAATAATTTATTATAATTCAGTCTTCTTCCTCTTCTATGTGATGCGTCCTTTCAGGACGTTGGCGATAATGGCTCTCCCCAACTTCATATCCTATGTAAGTCTTAATATCTTTTCTTTTTGTTATCTCTCTCGAACCTTATTCTGCAATCCATTTGCTCAAGCTCTTTACGTAGGTTATATTTTGCTTTCATCTCTTCCTTTAAATACGTGTACAAGAAATTTCAATTGTCTCTTCTTGATGTTAAGTATAAGCCTTCTTTTTGTTTCCATTTTTTTCTTAAAACTTATTAACTCATATATTCAAACATTAGTATTATAATCATCCTTCTGTCGAACCACGTTGCCTCAAGCTTCTTCTTCATCTGTGAGGGGATTAACAAACACTTACTGCCATATAGAAGAATATATACTTCATAGCAGTTCACTCGTCTTTTGTTTTGGACGAATTGTGTTTCTTAATACTTTGCTTAGCTTTTGAAAAGCATCTTTCGTTATTTCAATTCAACTTCGGATTTCGGTATCACATTTTCCTTCTTCTTC